GGAGAAAAGGAGCTCAAGAGAGGTGGGACCATAGGAGAAGGGTATTATTAAGGGAGAAATGTGAAAAACGGGGACACCTTAAATGGGGAAACCATGGTGGAAGGGTTAGACAATGTGAGAGATAAATAATGCCTAGCTAGTTTTAGAAAACCAGAGGGAACCACATTAAGCCAACAAGCTACTGACAAATTATACATACAACCAGATCAAAGAATGTAATATATGCCTCAGCAAGGTTTATCTGAGAATGTTTGGTCTTTGCTCAAGCTCTATCTACATGGCATATGGTAATTAAAGTACTAGACTGGTGGAAGTAACCTTCTTGGATGCTAATAGCCATACTTTGAGGCCTATACTAATTTGGTCAGGGGGACATAAAGGACAGTTTTTGCTCCTTGCCCTCCTAGGTCGACTAAGTTCCAGGGGACTATGAGTGTCTCTCAAAATGTCCTGTAACTGTGGTGAGTCACCTGTTCTCTTGAACAAGGAGGCCGTGGAGACCTCACCAGATGGACCAGTCTACAAAAAGGAGGGTCAACACAGAGGAAACATTTCTTCCACACTTCCAAGCTAAGCTAGCCATGGTCATGACTTAGCTTCACAAAAATGGAACTGGTAAAAGAAAGGAGCCAGGGGCTCCTCCAAAGCCCATGTTACCCTTGAGGAACAGGTTCTCAAATGACCTTAAGAGTAAAAATAAATTGTTTTATCTGGGCCAACTGTAGGGTCTTAAACACCCAAAAGGGAAGTACAACCAAAGATTAATGGGGTCAATATAATTTTTAAGAGTCCATATGTATAGGTAAAAGCTACATAACAAGAAACTACGCCAGACAGGTGATACCTTCTTTTGAATTATTGGCCTAGATGGTGTAAGAGACTCCCAAACAGGAACCCAGCATAGAACTTGGAAAATGAACAGCAGACCCCAATCTTATCTAAAGGAATATTGACAACTGATTGCTGCTAGATGAGGAACAGCTGATCTTCCTAAAACAAGGATCTCTAGATAGGCTGACTAGATTCAGCAGATGGACAAGCAATGGAGAATGGCTGGGCATGTCAACAACACAGAGGACAGTAACAGGGATGACAGAGTAT